TTTTTTGTTGTTTTCGCCAGGCGAAGAAGCAAAGTGAAATGGCGGGGCTGTAGAAAAAAGCCGCTGGCCATGTATAGCTAGAATGCATTATGACCCTAATGTATGTATTCCATGCATGGATGGTCTGGGATCTTTGGAACTTGGCACACTGGTGATACCCCCTTGTGACATGGCCATACCCGACTGGCACCACCCAGCGAAATAGGCCAGCTGTTTTCAAGCGACACCGTGGAACATGGCATACATAAACTACACTGACTCCCTCAATTTCCGCGTAAAATAAAGATTCACCTTTTTTCTGTTCTTGAGAGTTCCATGGATTTCCATGGTATGTCCCCAATCCCCCAGTCCGTTCGGTTCACTGACTAGGTGGGTACATTGCTTCTCATTTCCCCAGATATCCAGGCAGATCTCAGGATTTCTTCTGCACCAGTCCCTCGTCGAAGAGGTCGCTCTTGTTAAACAATTGTCGACTGGCAGACTCAGCCATTGAAAGGAGGGCTCCTGCTGGCCTTATTGATACAGAATCCACCTGGGAAAGACTCAACAACGGCTTATCCGGATGTCATTTTGTTTGTGCTTGAAAATTCTTAGTTAATGATCACTTGGCCCTCCGCTTTCCTTTGCTGATTGACGGTGTTTTCTTATATGTTATTATCTTGTTGCGCAACCCCTCCATGTTTCATAGAAGTCGACACACTGGGAACGTCACTGTGCGTTTTTTTCGTTTTTTCTGCTGGTGTTCTGTGTGCACTGTGTGCTGCAACGTCTGGCCACTCACCCATTGTGCCTCAAGTTGCTGAATCAATGGGGGAAAGCGTCCCAGGTCAACATCAATTGAGAGGTACAGCACTCCCATCACATCCTTTGTTACACTTGCTTCACTTGCTACACTTGATGTCTTCTTTTTGGACCAAGCTGCACACAAAAAGTAACAATTGGTACCAGGTTTACAGGAACCTTCTCTCAACTGCATCACTGCACCTCAACATGATCGCCATAGCAAATGTGAACGCACAACAGCACAATGCATGGCGGCATGACCACGTTTGGGCCCAGAAGGTGCTGGACTTGCAGGCCATACAGTGGAAAATGAAGCAACTGGCCACAGTTGACACATGTTGAAACTGGTTCACTTCACTCGACGTATGGCCCTCTTCAGCAGCTTGTGCTGTGGTCACATTGGAGATGTGAAATGAAAGGAGAACCGATCAGGGCCCTCCGCAATCAATCCTTCAGCCAATAAATTGTTGATGTTCTCCACAACCCCAAAACAAACGCGTACAATGACGTACAACATTCACTCGGACAGAGCACACATCCATATCTCTAACCCCCTCCTTGCATTGCTGTTTCCCATGTTGCTTCCCATCATGTCGCTATGTCATAAAGCTACCACTGGCAGCCCTTCACTTCCTTCGCTTCCTCGCGCATTTCCTCCAAGGTCTGCAGCAACAACGTGCCCAGGTGGCCCCCCACGTAGGAGCGCACCAAGCCCACGAGGCTCACGAAGGACATTTTCTCCAAGACTTCACGGATCCTCCTCGGGGCTGAGCCAGCACTACCTGTCGGATGGCTGATCCAGCAGTTTCATGCAGTGAAGTGCAGTGAGTGGATGTGATGATCTGCACACCTTCCCTCCAACGTTTGGTAGCCCCACATCCAGCTGATCCAGCAGTTTCTATGTCGGATGTGGTTTCTTTTGTCCCAAGAAACGTGTTGTGATGAGACAGGGGCACTCCGGCACTCCCAACCTCCAATAATCACCCCTTTGGATCTGATGGAAGATCTGTTTGCCTTTGAGATACTATCAGAGAGTCTTGCCTGCTAGCTCACGTGAAACGCATTTTTACGAAGCTCCCACCAACTGGCCGGACAGCCAATGATGGAAGATTGGAAGACTCTCATCATGTTTTTGGTGAGTCTCTTGAAGGGACTGGCGGATAGGTCAACCTGAAAAGGACTCAGCTGTTCATCGGCTTGGACAATGACCCACTGCCCCTGCGGGCACGTGTAATATATGCAATATGTATGCTTTGTAGAACGGCACCGTCTTCTCGAAAGACGGAATGCCCCAAAATGAGCAAAATCAAGGTTCTTCCTAGTACAAGTGAATCCGGGCTGCCGACCTGGTAGGACATGGTACGGCTCCTCATAGAATCGTTAATCATATAAATCAATCATTCTGAGGGTCACTGAGAACAATTCCCCAGGACCCCAAAGGTCATGGGGAGGATCTACCCTGAGATACTCCTGGTGGAAGACCGCCCCCAGAAGACTTGGATGACGAATTCCGAGGACCGAAAAGGTGGTCAATTCACTCCACTTAACCATGATGACTTCTGACAGAATATCCCTCAAACCTTCTAACTCGGTTGGCGGATGTGGTTCAAAGATGGTTCTAGTCCAAAGAACCCAACGAAGGGGACCGCCACCTGCATGTCATCATTATCATACATCGGATACTACATTGGATCTATCCTATTACCAATGTATAACAGTGGATGATGATGATTAGTAAAGACCTTGTTCAAAAAAACGTGATAATTGTTCACCGACTGTTACAGGTAATAAGACAAACCCAAGGTATGATGATCATATATACCCTTTTTTGTGCTTCGATTTAGTGCGACGACAACCCGGAATCTCAATTTGCTGCTGATGTTCTTTTGTCACTTTGGGGAGTATCAAGAAGTTCCAACTTGTCATGAGTACCAACCAGGAACATCAATTGTAGCAGGCCAATCATACAGTTGCCTCTGAAGCAGTTCACTCAAAGTCTCAGTGGAGAACATAAGTTTTAAAGTGGGCCGTTGGGCCTGTTCCAGCGTGAACGATCTGGTGTAGGATTTTTTCTGTAATTAGACAGTCATTGAATTGTTCAAATGTTTGGTTGCGTAGCTTGCCTGTGCATACCTCTCGTCCCAACCATCCAAAACGATAAATACAAATTAACTAATCAAATCAGGTCGTTCACTCACCAAACCACGGTGTTCATGCCCCAGGTGGGTCCCCAAACCCTCGAAGCAGCTATCATGTCTCGATATGTTCCCTCTCTGTCGCTATCTCTTCTTTCAGTTAGGCGGCCGGAAGGTTTCAAAGCACGGCGGATGGTGAATTCACACTCTATGAGCTGCTGAACCGTTTGTGCTCCACAAAGTTCGATTTCCTGGCGCTAAAAACAGTCCCCCCTCCAAAAAATCTAACCAACCGCACCAGTCTATGATGAGGTGATCTACAGTGATGATAACTTTTGGTCACGGTCCACTCAAGGACTGCATCTCTCTGTGCCCCCCGACTTGACAACAAGGTGTCTCAAGCAGCTGAAATCGATGTCCCATGAAATGTTCAACATCTGGTGGGTTCCAACCCGATCTGGCAGGGCGGGTTCCAACGAGATCAGAACCTTGCAAAAATGCGTGCCCAAAAGTATATGAGGCCGCGTCTTTCAACTCAAATCAGGTCACGTACCGGAAACTGAACGTAACACTTGGTTACCTGAACTACCTCGGTTTTCAAAGGTGGGTGCTGGAAGGGTCTTTTTCGACCTTCCGAGGAGTACTTACTTGGAGATTTGGGTCGTGCTATGCACACACATATATATAAGATTTAACAAATATATATACATATATACATATACATACATGTGGGCGGGTGCTGATTAGCGAACCCCAGGGGTATTTTTCTGAAACCTACTACAATTAGGTTTCCGGTGTCTACACCATGTGTATCTCACATTGCGGACTTTCCTCACTTGATGCAAAAGGCCTCCGGTAACTTCTTGCTTGTGCGTGTCATCTTGACTGCATGCTATGGTTGAGTGAGTGGGATGCTTCATGTCCGCACTCCTTCTCGAGGATCTGAGCTGAGATCCGCGCTCAGTTCCTCAGTTAAAATCTCAGAGGAGCTATCCAGGAAGGTAGCGTGAAAGCTTATCTTGTCATTTAGACCTTCGGTCTCCACCCCGTTGTGGCATTCTCGAGATACTGCTCCTCCAGCATCATGATGCGCTGCTTTGCCCTCACGCACACGACATTCCATCACAGCGGTCGAGGTCGCCAAACTCATGATACCCAGCCTGTTCAATCCACTCAATGGCTCGCTCATTCTCCACAGAATCCACCGTTGACCGTTGATTGACTTATACTTTCAGTCCTTGAGGCTTTTGGTACCGGGGGTCAAGGATCTTCAATAGGAATTAGAACAATCTCTCCACTCTCAAGCGTCACCATGGCCATGTCACCTGGCTGTAGTTCTTCCGCTTGACCTTCAAAGGGGCTCCCAACAATGGTCCTCAATCGAGGACTTCAATGCTTCCTGGAGGACGTTGATGGCCTAGCCACAAGTACTCTCGCTTGCTGCTTCAACCGTTGCCTATCGAAGTTGCGGTTCGACATCTGAAGATAGTCCTCAGTCCCCAATGCTTCCATTCATCTTCTTGGAACTCTGTATGGACATAGCCTAGCCTTCATTCTTGACGAAACCTTCGTGTACTCTCTGCACATAGACCTTCAACGCATCCACCTTTTCGCGCAATCGCAGTCTATATGCTTCAGTCTTCACATCGTCCATCTGTAGCTTGTCGTTGGCAACTGTCATGCTCCTCTCGTGGTCTCAATGCGCTTCGATCGCTTGTAGGTCGCCCATGCTGCTGCTCCCAAAAGAATCACCAGCAGAATCATAAAGCACACTGTCCATGAGAAATAGTTTCTCTCACTCTCTCCTAAATGCGATGTCCTGCCTCAAGGCCTTGGAGTAAAAAGAATTCTGTTCAGCATTCTGGCTGACCGGTTGATTGTGAAAACTTTGTATGAATGTAGGGTGGGATTGATTCTGGACTTCGACAATGGCATGGTTGCTAGGTCTGACGCGTAGTGGACTGCTCCAATGGAGTTTCAACTCCTCTTGGGCCACCAAATCCTGAACGCAACAACTTTCCAGACACGTGGCGAGGCTTACCTGGGCCAGTACGTCTGCAGAGGTGAAGCGTAGCCCACCAGACAATGTGCACCACTGGTTCATTGACCAAGAACTCACTGCACCTCTTCGAATGTATCAGCAGTTTTAGCACCTGGCGGGCTGGCTTGTTGCCCAAAAAATGGGTGACATCTTCGTACCCCAAGAACTGAGTGATGCCAAGGGCATAGGTTCACTCGGGACTTTGATTTGAGAGGCAGGCCCAGGAGAGCCTGTCTCTGAACATGAACTCCAGCCTGTGCCCACCTCCCCCGGGCGTTTAAGAGGCCAATGCCGCTTGCCTTTGCGTGGGCAAGATCAAATTGGAATCGATGCGTCGCGGTTGATATTGTTTTGATGTGTTCCACGCTTGCACTGCGCCGTCCTGCAAACGGCACACGCGTCAACCCATACCTCCGCTCTCTTCCACTGATGGACCCTTGGGTTCTTTACCCTCTGCTGCTTATGCCTGATGTGCCACATTTCGCGCTTGAGTGTACCCTGATCCTCTACCAATCTCCCATAGCACTTGGCCTTGCTTCCACCCTGGCCAACCTTTCAATGTCATAGGAACTGCTACTTCAAGCCTCACTTGTTGATCCTCTAAATCACGACCCTCATGTCGAAGCTCTAGCCGCTATAGCCATCCTGGGATGTCCATTCTGTCCGTCTTCTCGCATCATTGACTAGTGGAATTCTCCACCCTTCTATCTCTTCTGGCCTCCTCTGATGTGCATTTCAGTGGAAACCTGCAGCCTCAAAACCAAGGTCCGGACCTCACTGGGCGTTAAAAAGGTCAACAGAACTGAGAACTCTGGTAGTCCTGGCTGAGATGAAATTCCAATCCAGCTCTCTCCTCTCTTCTTCCATCAATATGAGGAGGTGTGCAAAAGACACCATGTCTTTGTCCTTTGGTCAACAGCGAGCCAGGAAGCAGTGAAGAACTGCCCTGAGTCAACAAAATGATGACCACATCTTCTGTCTCCTCGCCGTTTCATTTTTCCGTGAAGATGTCATAAGACTCCACCATCTGCCTCTTGGTCCCCTTGATGGTTCAAATTGCACGCGAGGTCTCATCAAGTTGCCCCAAGTCGAAATCAAAGGAACTCTGCGAATGGCCTTTGAATTTCAATCACCAGTCGTCGTGGTGGTCTGTGAAACTGTAGATTGTCCACTTGCCTCTTCCCTTGCCTTTCCCACCTTGCGGCTGCAGCCTGGCAATCTCCATAGGCACGTGGTATGCACAGTCCACACCTACCAGGTATTGTTTGAGGCTCCAAACGAGCCACACCACTGCAAGATCTCCTGCTCTCGATGACTTGGGTGGAATGGTGATGGGATCAAGTCAACTCTGGTTCTCCAAGCCCTGTGGGATCAAATCCCTGAACCATCCATCAACTCTCCTCACACAACTCTCCTCCTTTCCTTCCATGGCCTCAGGCTCTGTTGGGCTCTGTTGCGTTTACGCCCTATGGCGGGCGGCTGGGGTGGCACATGTCAGGAAGTGCCCCACAGCAATCTCCCCACTTGTGCCAAACTTGGCCGGAGTGGTGGAGATGTAGATTGAAAAAACATGGACAGGTGATTAACACATCTGAGAAGCCAAGTAAAGTTACGGCAGTGGGAGGTGGAACCAAGAAGCGCCGCAAATATGCTGCCTTCTCTATAGGGTCAGCTGTCCGTCACGTCAGGTCACTGCACATTTGCTCAAATCTGCATGAACCTGAGCAGTACAGCTTCCAACATGGAGGATGCTCTGACGCAGAGGCTCCAACTCAAGCACCGGTTCAAACCACCACTCCAGCGCAAGGCATGGGAGACCACGGCTGCGCACCGAGCAGATGGTCCAAAGTGAGCTGGCGGTTGCAGTGAGGGCAACTGAGATCAATGTCAAGACTTTGGCCAAAAACAAAAGGAATCTGCCCAGAAAGGCGGGAGAGCTACCAAGCTCGAGTGTAAAGCCACTCACGTTTGGTCCAGTGGGCTGACGCAAGCAACGTCAGGACTTTCTTCTCCATGGCAACATCGTGAAGCCAAGGAAAAATAGTTTTGCTCCTCCGTTGCAAGCCAGCCGCGATCAAATTGCAGGAGTTTGGGAAGTACAGTCGTCCGTATCTAAAGGCGCACATTGGACTTGACGGGGATCGATTGAGTCACTTGCTGGGCAAACTCAATGAAATCCTCAGAGATACCAAATCTGAGCTCCAATGCCAAGCAATCATCCCAATAGCTTCGGTTAGGCAGGTTTCTGACTATTAGTTTATCTACTGTTTCCTGACTATTTGTCTAAACATAGGATTGAGCTATTACTCAGAACAATGTTTTTGACTGATAGTTTCAAAAAGTCAATCAACCTCAAGTGTTAGGCCATCTAGTTCGGTAACCTAACTGTTTTGTTTCTGTGTCTTTTCCACACTTCTTATTCTTCAAAATGCACTTTCCAAAAAAGAAAGCCTTCTCATGGAGCGTCACCTTAAAAGATTCACTTCGGATTTTTCTGCCACACAAACAGATCCACATCAAAAAATGGATCAGAGTAATCGAATCACCTTAGACTTTCTCACACAACAGATAGATTCGACCTTAAAGATTCACCCTTCATTTTCACTCAGAACCAACAGACTCACTTCAAAAGAAGGACCAGACTAAAAGTTTCACTTTGAAGAGCAACCTTTGACTTTCTATGAGGCATAGACTTACTTTAGAATCACTGTTTTTGCCTGAAACAGAGATTGACTAGAGGTTCACTTTTCATTCAGGTTGGAATGAGACAGAGATTCACTGTAGAGATTCTCTTGAAATCATTTTGCGCTGAGACATGGGTGGAACTTGGAGGTCCACTGAATGACTTTAGAGCGGGACGTTATATTAACTTCCCCTTCTGCGCGATCGAGGTTGGGGGCCAGGCATCCCGTGAGGCAAATCCCTGGCAGGTCATGGAGTAGCCCTCGTCGCCACTCCCCGCCTGCCCAATGTCCATCACAGGGACATTGGCCTCGGGGCATGAACGCTGGTGCGAATGTGGAAGATTGGCGCCTGGTATTTACCGACAAAGAATTATTAACTTATACCTGCAGACTCAAGAGTCTGCAAAATTCCTGCTGGCTCAAGAATGTTTACTTTTTCAGGGAGTGTGCGATAAGTTTTGCTTTCGAGCGTTTCTGGATCTTTTGGCGTTTTTCATCCAAAGAAGATCAAAGAAGAGAAGCGCAGGGTAGAACGGCGAGGTGCCCAAATGGATTTGGAACATGGTGGGTGACTCAATTCAACATGACTATTGGACAAGGTGATGCACCAGTAGGTGTCACAAATCCGTGTCGCAAACCCAGTTAGATCATTAGATCACACACACACACCCGATATCCTTCGAATGTCCTTTTTCTCATCAACTTCCACCATCATGGGAGATGTTTGAACCCCCCCCGAAGCCAAACACGATTGCCCGCTGCTGAAACTGTTGCCGCTGTGAGAACTTGTGAGTGCATGGAGCACGCCGAATGAAACACCATTTTAGCACAAAGTATGGAAAGATTTTAGAGAAACCCACCAACAGCCGTACGCTCAGCTTGCGTGCCTCTTGTCAATCCAATCCTAGCAAAGCCTCCGGCCTTTGTTAAGCTTGCTTGGATACCGTGCGCCCCGCTTGTGCCCTGTGTGACATTGGTACTTAAAACTAAAACCTTGGATTCTTCCAGTCCATCAGAAGAGATTCTATGACGGAAACCCTGTGGGGGGGCCGAACCCCAGGCCGAATCCTGGGCGACGCTTTTCTTGCGAACCGAATCTTGACATATCTTGATGCTTACCGGTTACCGTCCTGGAACTTCAAACGAACACAAATAAACGATGATTTCTGGTTGTCGAGCACCTTTTCACACTTCCAACTTCAGGTGCTCCATTCCTCCACACCTTGGGACCCTGGCCACCAGTGGTTCGGTGCTGGACTGCGAGTTACTGCCTGCAATCGCGCAGCGAACATTCAATAGTGCCTTTGAGCGTCTGTCACTGGATCCTAGAAAATGAAACCGCATCAACACCCGCGTCAACATCCGCCCAGCCCAAGAAGGAAAATAGAACAAATCTTCCTGGGACAACCCCTGATGTCTGCAAGGAGCTGATGAAGTGTCTTTGATTTCAATGATATCCACAAACAGGAGCGAAGTAGATCTTGAAATACTCGTGTTAACACAGAACAAAACCTTTTGGACAGCGAAAAGCAATTCTATATTATTGCGTCATGTCGTTTCTCACCCTACCCTACCACTAATTTCCAGAATTGTCGGTTCAAACATGATTCTAAGTCTAAGTCCATCTAAAACTGCCCGCACGTCGGTATAACCCAAGATCTGAAAAGGTCTGTGAATAGCCAAACATCCTTGAGGCCATTGAAGGAAGAGCTTCTCCTATGCTCCCAGGAAGTGGCTGTTGTCCAAGTGGTTTCAGTCATAAATGATGAACACGGACTTTGCATGGTTGCCATTTTGGTCCATCTTCTGGTCCATAAATGAAAGCCTGGCTTTCTCTATATGGTTTATTTGCACACCAACACGGTCTGATTAACACGAACCCCAAACGCGCATTCCACTCGCAGATGCTTTGAGCCTTCCTTAAGGAAGGACTAAGCTCACGTTATAAAATCCAAGAGTTGGGAGAAGTTTGCTATAGATAGACAAGTTAGGCTTGGGAGAAGATTGACTGCAATTCTTTCAGTTGGAGATAGATCCAAGCGTTGGGAGAATATGTCCACCAGCAAATTGATTTAGACTTGGGAAAAGGTTCACTTAAGGCAAAATCACTATAGAAACTTCAATTTAGTCCAATTCAATGAAACCAAATCAGAGAATACCACCTGAAAGAAACGCGACAGTGAGCACACATGAAGCAAGCGTGGAAAAACATTTTGGGTTAAACTCATCTTGTTTGTACTGAAATCTTTGCTTTTAGTTAAAAGTGACACTTCATAGTGTAAGTTTGGCGTAAACTTACACCGAAACTCACACGCTTGGAGTGTAAGTTTACATGAAAGCTACACAGGGAAGTGTAAACCTACACTGTGAAGTGTAAGTTTGATGTAATGTTGCACTGATCAAGTGAAAGTTGAATGTAAACTTGCACCGTTGCTGTGTAAGTTTGATGTAAACTTACGGTTCAGGTGTGTAAGTTTCAGTGTAAGTTTACACCAAACTTACACTTCAACCAATGTTGTTTAGTATGTCTTGTTGATTTCTTTGCGCATTTGCAAGTGTTTCCCAACCAACCAACCCAACCACCCACCAAACCAACCAAACCAACCAAAGCAACCCAACCAGCCCAACCAACCCAACCAACTCAACCGACCCAACCGACCCAACCGACCCAACCGACCCAACCCACCCAACCCACCCAACCCACCCAGCCCACCCAACCCACCCAACCAACCAACCCAACCAACCAACCAACAAACAAACCACAACAACCAACAACAACCACAATCACCACCACAACAACAACTACTACTACTCCTCCCACCCTAAAACCCTAAAGTAGTAGTAGTAGTAGTAGTAGTAGTAGTAGGAGTAGGAGTAGTAGTAATTAATAGTAATAGTTATTATTATTAGTAGTAGTTATTATTAGTAGTAGTTATTAGTAGTAGTAGTGGTGGTAGTAGTAGTAGTAGTAGTAGTCGCAGTAGCAGTAGCAGTAGTAGTGGCAGTAGTAGTAGTGGTGGTAGAAGTAGTAGTAGTCTAAGCCTCTGTAAAACTTTTACTTACACCCTCTACCACATCCTAGAGACAAAAGCTGCAGCCCCCTTGTTGTTTTTCGGACCCCCCTGTCAAAAGGTGTTGTTGCTTCTACCCCCTCCTAGAAAGAAAGACTGCAGCCCCGCTGTCTTTTTTGGACCCCCCCTCCAGAACAACACCTCAAAAACACTAAAAACGGACCAGCCCAGACTTCAGTGAAACAAGTCCAACATGTCCACCTACGTACTAAACCAACATTCGCTCAACCTTCAACCATATCCCTAACCTTGTCCCCTTGAAGTTCCAAAGTTACAACATGTGACAATTATGTTGGGGGGCTGTTTTTGCTTCTACCAACAACAACAGCTACTACTACTACTACTCCTCCTGCTGCTGCTGCCGCCACAACAACCACAACAACAACAACAACTGCTGGTGCTGCTACCACCACCGTACCAACGCCATCCTTGCATATCCTCTGCTCCTGCGGGCCTGCTGGCCCGCTGGTGGGCGTCAGCCCCTTAAATAGACTTTCAACAGGTAGTGATAGAAAGACCCCAAAAGGCAATGTTTGGTGGTGTCCTTTTTAAGCCTCCAAAGCGTTCTAAAACGGCCAAAACAATAGCACCCCAAACGAATTGTCGCTTCAGTCTCTTGGCCTTTCTTTGACGTCAAAGAATCACTTGGTTTTCCATTGCCTTCTTTGGTGATTCGTTGTCCTTACATTTCACTTTGAGGATGGCACGGTTCAGATGCAATGCTTTCATTGGGGAGGAGTTCGCCCTTGGAAGATGTACACATTGGCCCCCAGCACTGCTTCCAGGACAATAAAAGGCCAGGTTCTTCGCAGTGGCAAGTGGCAATGAAACATATTTATTGCCACTGTGTGAATTTCCACTGCTTATGCGGTTCATACACCTGTTTTGCAGCAGGATGGGCCAGAAGGATGTGAGAAAAAGTTGTCTTGTGTTTCCAGATTGGAAGGACTACTTTAGAAGAATCACTTTAGTGCCAGATTCATACTATATCCTCATTGAGAACATCACTCTTGAAGAATCACTTTAGATGCGAAAGTTGTCTTCTTCAGGAATCACGTTAGACCTGTGATTCACTTTGGCATGACATGAGACTCACTTTTCCTTCTGTAGACCAAACGAATCTTTTCAAAACAGAGATTAGTAGCCTGCACAAAGTTCTGCATGTGTTTTCACTTTTTGGTTCGAAGTTGTTCTGCAAAACAAGCAAATTCATGATTGCAAGGTGTACTCTTTAGGTTGTTCGATTAAACAACCCAAAAGTCAGAAAAGCTATCAACCTATTAGTCAAAACATGTTTAAGCTATTTAGATTGTTTTCCTACTGATGAGTTTTTACAACCTAATAGTTAGAAATCTACCTAACCGAAGCTATTAGGCAAATCGAAAACCCCCTTCAGGTAGTCACAAGCACAGAGGGCGAGAACCAACCTCACCAGTTCTATGTCGGCCCGGCTCGGGTGCGTGCAAACACGGGGGGGGGCAAAGTGGAGAGTGGGTCCAGTCTCCCAAGTGGTCCGCTGGAGCTCCGGTGAGAGCCAAAGCAATCACATTCACAGCTTTTCTCACTTCTTGATTTGTGCCGCGTGTCATCTTGACTGCATGCTATGGTTGAGTGGGACGCTTCATTTCCGCACATATATATTTACATGTGCATCTGCATCTGTGCGTACGCTTCCACACAAACATTCACCACCTTTAATATGTTTAAAATAACAATAATTATGATATTGTAGAACCATTTAGCTGGTCTATAAATCCTGTGGTGGTAAATCTCATGAAGTCCTCACCATTCCCGCCACAAATGCAATCGTCATTGTCAAATTCAACAGCACCACCCAAATCAGAAGCACTGTGACCTATCCCTAATACTGTTTGCATGCGTGTCATCTGTTGGTATTTGCCACATTCAACGTATTATTGGGGCCATCTGACCTAAAATATTCAACTCCATGTACTAAATAGTGAGTGCTGTTCAATGTATCTATGCTATCTGACTGGAAACCACCTTCGCACTGTAACTCCTGCTTTCACTTTCAAAATTGATTTGACATATGATATCTCCTGTGTTTGTTAGCCTTGTGTGTGCATGTAGTATCAGCAGTAAGGTTTGTTGCATCAATTGCATTTGTGTTCACAGCCTTTGCAGTTAAACAAAGCATCTACACTAGAATTAAAAGGTACATTTGCAGTTAATGCGGGATTTACTAGATTGGTTTCTAATGCTCATTCTGTATTGCTTAAGCTTGTGTATACACATCTGCATTATAGGCTTTCAAGCCTAAACTGGTATCTACTGCTAATTAGCCATGGGTAGCAACTATTTCACTACAATGTCAACAAGGTGTGAGATTTGAGGTATTGAGAAGGACATCCCCCTAATAAAGGTGATGACCTGATGATGGATGATGAGATGAGGACCTGGACCTGATGATGGATGATGGTTGAGTGTATGTGACATGAGGAGATGAGAGTTTGAACCACGAGGGTGGATCAGAAGATCAGTTTCACCATGGACCAGTAGATATTGGAGACTAGCTAAAAGAACCTAATATAAACGAATTATATAAATAATAGTAAACCCTAGTTTGTGTTTTTTTTGGGGGGCAGCTGGGATTGATTAATAAGGGGAGGGCCCAGGAAAAGCATATTAGGGGATGCCAAGGTGGAAATCTAGATTTTAAATTAGTTTAGTATTGGGGGGGGTCTGGCTGGGATTGATTAATAGGGGGTGGTTACTTGATCCTATGTCAACATTATTGTTGCTTGATTCGCTCTTGAGTTAATGATGTGTCAACTTCTGTTTTGGTTTCAGTTGTTGCTGTGCCTGCGTTCAATGCTGAAAAACAATGAAAAGCCTCTCAATACTCATAACCACTACCTCCACCACCTCCTTCTGCAACCGCAGTGGTTGCATATGCTTCTGCTGCAAGATTGGATGTACCTAGTTCCCTTCTAACCTAAACCAACCAAAAAGTAAAATATTTAGATTGACATAGAGTATATAATAATGTGTGTTTGCTTTTGGACTCATGATGAACATAAGACCAAAATTGGAATGCTGCAAATGATTCGTCCGGTCAAAAGGCCTTGTTTATAAACATGTGCTGTGTTCATAAACTCCCCCACCAAAAACAACGAACAGTTTTCCAAAGTAGTCCCAACATATATGAGTCTCTTGCCAAACAAACCAAACACATACACAATGTTTACCAAACTAGTCCAAACCTTTGTGGAATGAACATAGTTTCCAAATCATGGTTTTGCCCCCTAATCAGCGAGCATCCAGGATCCATGTATATATATAATCCCCTATGGAATTCCAGGCAGGGGTTGCAGGGGTTGGGCCCCGGATTTTATAAGGTAAAAAATAAGAGTTCATGATTATAGAATGAATACCTGATCACACACCACTCACCTTCTGTCAGTATAAACTGTCACCCCTCAACCCTCTCTTTGCACATATGGCTTTCACACATGCCTCAATAACAAAGGTTTTTAGGGCTTTATACATTGAAAAGACCATGCTGAGATATTTACTATATCTTATTTTTTCACCTATGTCAGATTGGGCAGGAGTCTATTTTATAGCAGCTGGCGGCTGCAATGACCTAATATTGCATTCTATAAGCAACCCATTTTATAGTGGCACCATGTCAAAAGCTCACTTTCCCACAAGAATTCTGATAGGTGGTTGGTGTGGACGACCTATAACATATTTGTTTTAAAAAATCAACAAAACACAACCCACCCAGGTCCATAAAATCAAAAGCCAAGGAGGCCAAAGGTGAATGATGGAGATTATTATGAATGAGGGGGTTGTAGTGGGGAGGGTGGTGCCTAGTGGGTCTTCATTTTATAGCGGCACCATGTCAAAGGCTCACTTTTCGCCAGGATTCGCAGTTGGTGTGGAAGTGTTTAAAATCAAAACCCAAGGAGGCCAAAGGTGAATGATGGAGATGATTTAAGAATGGAGGAATTCTTCTCCAGGTGTCCATTTGGTTTCCAACAGAAATTGAAATATTCTATTCCAACAAGGTTTCTGTAGATTTGGCTGGGGGAGGGGTAGTGGGGAGGGTGGGGCCTAGTGGGCTTTCGTTTTATAGTGAGACCATGTCCAAGGGTGATGTTGGGTGTTTATTCTGCAATGCAGGTCGATGAAACCTTATGCATACAAATCACATTCCAAAACCATACAGTCATACAGTTTGCTGCCCATACAGTCATGTTGATGATCGACGCCATTGAACCAATTCAACGGAAATCGAATCACAACGAGGTGGGACATGAAAAATCAAACTCTACCATACTCTATCTTAGCTCGCCCACTCCTTCTTTATAACACGAACACTTGGTACCCTCCATCAGCCTCCATCTGTATAAGATGAACACCTAACACATCAGGCAAATCTTGGCTGTTCGCCCTGCGATGCAAGATGTTTTTGTTATACAACGAAAGGTCACATTTGGGCCAGGACAACCAGATCCAATTTTCACACTCATACATGTCCAAGTGGTTTCCATTCTATACCAACTAATGTTTATTAAAAATGGCTGCCCCCACGGGGCTCGAGCTCGACATTTTATAATGTTTATTCCCACCAGGATTATATATACATGTTGTACACATATGATACACGGCCCCTATGGCTTGCAAAGGAGTCACCTTCCTAAGGCCCTGATTTCTCCAAGTGTCCTTCGCTTTTGCTCGTAAAGGTGGAAGAACTGCCTCCTCAAATGTGCAGGATCGCTAGTAGGTTGGAGCCCATCGCTAGTAGGTAGGTTGGAGCCCATCGCTAGTAGGTAGGTTGGAGGCCATCGCTAGCTAGTGGGTAGG